TAATTTTTATGTCGGTTACAACATAAATTCTTACTAGTGAAGAATATTTATCTTAAAATGTATATTTTATGTCGGTTACAACATAAATTCTTACTAGTGAAGAACATTTATCTTAAAATGTATATTTTATGTCGGTTACAACATAAATTCTTACTAGTGAAGAATATTTATCTTAAAATGTATATTTTATGTCGGTTACAACATAAATTCTTACTAGTGAAGAACATTTATCTTAAAATGTTTATTTTATGTCGGTTACAACATAAATTCTTACTAGTGAAGAATATTTATCTTAAAATGTTTATTTTATGTCGGTTACAACATAAATTCTTACTAGTGAAGAATATTTATCTTAAAATGTATATTTTATATCGGTTACAACATAAATTCTTACTAGTGAAGAACATTTATCTTAAAATGTATATTTTATGTCGGTTACAACATAAATTCTTACTAGTGAAGAACATTTATCTTAAAATGTATATTTTATGTCGGTTACAACATAAATTCTTACCAGTGAAGAATATTTATCTGAAAACATAATTTTTATGTCGGTAACAACATAAATTCTTACCAGTGAAGAACATTTATCTTAAAATGTATATTTTATGTCGGTTACAACATAAATTCTTACTAGTGAAGAACATTTATCTTAAAATGTTTATTTTATGTCGGTTACAACATAAATTCTTACTAGTGAAGAATATTTATCTTAAAATGTATATTTTATGTCGGTTACAACATAAATTCTTACAAGTGAAGAACATTTATCTTAAAATGTTTATTTTATGTCGGTTACAACATAAATTCTTACTAGTGAAGAATATTTATCTTAAAATGTTTATTTTATGTCGGTTACAACATAAATTCTTACTAGTGAAGAATATTTATCTTAAAATGTTTATTTTATGTCGGTTACAACATAAATTCTTACTAGTGAAGAATATTTATCTTAAAATGTTTATTTTATGTCGGTTACAACATAAATTCTTACCAGTGAAGAATATTTATCTGAAAACATAATTTTTATGTCGGTTACAACATAAATTCTTACTAGTGAAGAATATTTATCTTAAAATGTATATTTCATGTCAGATTCTATTTATGCAAATATAAGGATTATATGCCAGAACTATAACAAGAACATCCCAGCCACTAAATACTGGTTTCAAATAAACATGAAAGACATAACTCAAAGGTCAATATCGTGACTTTGCTTTATAAAGCCTATAAGGTGAAGTGTATTGGATGGCCTTCACTTTTTTTATTACAAAAGTCACTCAGGTAAGATTCTTTATGTAATGACCCTGTATCCATATGCCATCGTTAAATTATCTCTTGGGGGCTCTCACTCTGTTTTACCTGCGTGTTATCACTCTGTTAAAACATACGTTCATTTTTGGCTCTTAATTCTTGGGGAATTTTACCCCCAATTCATAATAATAGAATATTCCCAATTTGTTTCAGCTTCTCTCATATCGTTGAGGGTCTAGCTAACATTTTCAGCTTCTCTCATATCGTTGAGGGTCTAGCTGGTGGTGAATATTCTATTTATAATGCTGTTTTTCTAGGGCCACTTGCAGAGTCTAGTAGCTTCTCTGGTATCGTCCAGGGTCTAGTAACTTCTCTGTAGGGACTCTTAATCTAGCTCCGAAACAGCTCAGAGTCTTGTTTTAAGTTATAATTTTCTAGTAGTTAATAGTGATTATGAATAGAGTGAGTAGCCCCTGTTACGCCAAACCGTAGCTTGTCTATTTTCTTTAGTGTAATAAACATTTAACTGTTCTTGTGCGTTCTTGTTGTATATAAAATGATATTTTAATATTGTTATTAAATTATAGTTTATATACAATAAGTTCTCCTTGCTAGCTGACATAGCAATTTTCAATTAAGATTTTCATTATGTATTAGTGTTAGTGATTTTCCTTGCCCTGCAGGCATTATAATTTTGTTTATTTATGTATGCTGATGAGTTCTGGTTGATGCTAATTAATTGACCAATCAGCGTTCTCGGGGAGGATGCCCTGTTAGGGATCTGAAGGCCCCGCAGCATATAGTTTGAGTTTTTGGTGGAGGCATTTGTTTGCGAAATTTGTGCATTCCCACCCACCGTCCCCGGCTACACCATTGGTTTTATTTTATACTCATGTATTTTTTGTTTTTGTTTCATGTGCAACAGTTATAATATAACCATATTTTTATGTATAATGGGCTACTCACTCTTAGTAACTTAAGGATCTTCTGCATTTATCAGTTTCTTATTAATATTTGTTTTTACCTGGGTGTTATCACTCTGTTAAACATGCGTTCATTTTGGCACTGTCTAGCTAACATTTTCAGCTTCTCTCATATCGTTGAGCTCTTAATTCTTGGGGAATTTTACCCCCAATTCATAATAATAGAATATTCCCAATTTGTTTCAGCTTCTCTCATATCGTTGAGGGTCTAGCTAACATTTTCAGCTTCTCTCATATCGTTGAGGGTCTAGCTGGTGGTGAATATTCTATTTATAATGCTGTTTTTCTAGGGCCACTTGCAGAGTCTAGTAGCTTCTCTGGTATCGTCCAGGGTCTAGTAACTTCTCTGTAGGGACTCTTAATCTAGCTCCGAAACAGCTCAGAGTCTTGTTTTAAGTTATAATTTTCTAGTAGTTAATAGTGATTATGAATAGAGTGAGTAGCCCCTGTTACGCCAAACCGTAGCTTGTCTATTTTCTTTAGTGTAATAAACATTTAACTGTTCTTGTGCGTTCTTGTTGTATATAAACAGATGGTTTCCCTCTTATTTTCTGTATTCTGTTCAGTTACACGTTCACAATATTCTATAAGAAGCTAGATTATGGATATTTTAAGTAATGTAAATGTAATGTAATTCCTTAACCCCAGAAAAAATACATGTTGCTACATATTTTTGTGAGGAATAGAACTTGTACTAAAACAATAGGGAATCCATTTGTAATGTTCTGCACAATACACCATATTGCAAATCTAAGGATTTTTTTTATAAAAATATCAAAAACACATACACTGTATGGAAATTAGAAGCTGGCATAATTAATCAAGGGTACAAGTACGTTATAGTAAGTCGTCATCTCCGATGATCCAAGAATAGTTTCAACAGCTCAACAACATTTAATGGGGAACATGATATCTTCAGGTGATTCTGTGACATTATACCAAGTATAAAAAACTATTTACAAAGATAGTAAAATATAAAAAAAACTCAACCTAAACAAACACAAATGAGCAAATCACTCAATTGTGTGTTAAAAAATGAGTGAATTTCTCAATCATTTGTCAACAAAATGAGTAAATTACCTAGTAATTGTATGTCAAATTAGGAATATATTCTATGTAGATATATATGAAAAGATGTATTTATCTGGACTGAACAATGAAATAATAGAATAATTTATGTAATAGAATCTGTAATTTACACTAGTTAAGCATGATAGTCTTAAGTTCATAAAAAAAATTTTTTTTTGGGGGGGGGGGGGATCAGTATTCATAACACACAAATGTTATAATTGAAGTCATGTGACAATTCATACAACTAAAGACAAAAGTGTTTATACACATAATAGAGAACCAAAAAAATGATCAAAGGTGAGTCAAAAATGTACAATGAAGGACAAATCTATTTACAGAGGTTTAAGTTTAAAGTTCAAATTCAATAATTGGATGAAAATCTAAAGACAATAATACAATTTTGGGCATGGATTTGCATACCTCTTATGTGAAGAATGTCAAGCCCTCGGGTTTTCTTTTAATATATAAGGTGCAATATCAAAATACATAAGACAGCTATATACAAATATAGATTTAAAATTACTTCATATGCAAAAGGTTAATTACCAGTATTTATATAAATGAGGAAAAATATTATACAACTTTGATATCTGATATTCATAAAATTCTGAAAACATATGCAAAGCCTGACATATCTTTAGATTTATAAATTAATTTCAGACGAAGTATAATACATAGGCAGAGTGAATTAATCGTGTTTTTTTGCTATTAAGCAGAGATATCAAACGTATATGTACAGGAAGAATGGCACAACAGGAAACTGGGTTCAAATATGGCACATCACTCAGTGAAAAATTATGCTTTACTTTACCAGAGTACATGGCAGATAAAGATGAAAAATAATCTCAGAATATTATCTTTAATTTCTGATATATTTACAACAGATAAATTAAACAAAAACAAAACATAAAGAAATAAAAAAAAAATAAAACGAAAAAAAAAAACAGTAAATAAAATTACAATTTGCAATAATATATTTACAACAGAAAAGTTAAACAAAAGGGTAAAAAACAAAAACAAATTATAGCATCCAATGGTAAAACATACAGGTATTTACAACAGAAAAGTTAAAACAAAAACAAATTATAGCATCCAATGGTATAACATACAGGTATTTACAACAGAAAAGTTAAAACAAAAACAAATTATAGCATCCAATGGTATAACATACAGGTATTTACAACAGAAAAGTTAAAACAAAAACAAGTTATAGCATGCAATGGTATGATATATGGGTATTTACAACAGAAAAGTTAAAACAAAAACAAATTATAGCATCCAATGGTATGACATACGGTATTTACATCAGAAAAGTTAAAACAAAAACAAATTATAGCATCCAATGGTATGACATACGGGTATTTACAACAGAAAAGTTAAAACAAAACAAATTAAATTACAGCATGCAATGGTATGGTAAAATATATTAACAACCCAAAAATTTTTTAAAATTATAATTTAATTACAGCATGCAGTGGTATAAAATATTAACAACTGAAAAGAAATAAGGTTTAAATGAAAGAAATTCACTACATTTCAGAATTATATCATATAGTATTATGTTGTCAATTATATATATTACAGAAGTTCCATTTGTGATTTTGTCAAAAAAAGTTTTTTCACTTTCAATGGAATGTTCTCCTCTGACAGTTTGTCACAAAACATAAAAATGTTTGATAACACAAAATGTTCTACATTTCACTGCCAAGTCAATGCTTCTTCTTTCAGTTGTACTGGAAAAGAAAATAAAAAATTTCTTGACAATAAATTCTTTACTTCAGATTCTAGTGGGATATTACCAACACCAAGTTATATGGTTTTCATCAGTACATTACATCTAAGCTTTAGTATCTTTTCAGTTCCCTTATATCCTTCTGATCGTATTGACAGTGTGACAGGTGATACTCAAATCTGCAGGTCATGAAGCTGCTAACAAAGATACCACCTTATTTGTACTTGTGAATAGTCTCACAATTAAGTGTCCAAACAAACAACCACATAAGAGAAAGGAATATCTAAAACTTGAGATTTTAAAATTCAAGATGGCTGCTAGCACACCAGTTTCTAAGCCTATTATATACAACTGATGACAAAATAAATCACTTACAAATACCAAGGGGACTCAAGTTATTCAGTTTGAGTATAATGAGTCCATAAGGTGACTCAAGTTATTCAGTAGCATAGACCTTAACCTTTGACCTTTCAAATCCAAATCAAGAATGTCTGATAAGAAAGCATACAGACTGTGAAGTTTGAGTTTGATCAATTTGAACTTGGGCTAATAACTGGAAATGGTGATCCAAACCAATTTTTTATTTATAGCAAGTGACCTTGACCTTTTATCATTTCACCTCACAAGCAATCCTAAACAAGTCCTCCTGTTATGAAAGCAGAGTGTGAAGTTTGAGTTTGATCAGTTCCATATCTATAACTTCAGTTAGAACCAAAATATTTTGGAGATGTAACAAATTTAAACATTTACCATGTTTTCACTTCTTTGTTTCCACTTCTTCCAAGACTCTCCTTGCTATTCTCAGAGCTGATTCAGCGTGACTCTTTGTAAAGTATGTTGACGGAATCTTCCCAGAAGCATGTACATCAGGATATCGCATGTGTGTGTGATTTCCAAGAAGACTTTCCATTTCACTAGCTGCATTCATTAGAGAAGTATCCCCTAACGAGGCAGCGATACCATAAATGTTATGACCTCTCTCAACACTATTGGCATTGTTCTTATATTGCATTGACTTCAGTGCTTTCTCCACAGCCTAGGATAAATCACAAATGTGTAGGTTATAAGACATATATAAAGGGTTTGAAAATCTTCTCTCTAAAGAAACAGTACTGAAACTCTAGTCAGCTGTCCTGAATCTGTTGATAAAAATCCTCTCAACTTTGACAAATTCTTTTAAAGGGTGACCATTGAATTACATGGTCTAGATTTTTATACCATTTGATAAGTCACATTGCCTGTCCATCTCAACATTGATTACATTGTTGTCTATGAATCAGTTTGATGTCTATTGATTGTATAGTATGGTAGGTGGTTTATCAAATTATGAACAATTTCGATGACTTTTTGAGATCAAACAGCATATAAATGTAGTTTATACAAACAAGAGAATCAGTAGAACCAATGGATACTCCCAGAATAAACGCGAGTTCCAACAGGGCTAATTTTGACAAACTTTAAGTATGAACAAGAGCATCACTGACGGTGCATTATACGCCCATCAAAACGTAAAGTTTTAAGCCAAAACCTATCAACCAATCAGAGCACAATATCCTAATAAATTATGCATGGATTTAACTCAAGTTCAAACCTAAACTTAGTCTTCCTAAAATACACATGCATACTGAATTTTATCAAAATTGAACGATATTTACTGTTTATCCATGAAATTATGTGGAAATGAACAAGTATTCTTTTAAAATATGAGTCCCATGAAAATATCTTTTGTTCAAAGTCAACTTATACCTAACATGTACTTCAATGTGTTAAATTCTCATCATGCTTATCAAGCATTATGGCATAAGAAATAGCGATAATATTCTTTAACTGTCAAATCCAAGATGGTCGCCTGTCGGCCATTTTGTTTTTGTAATCAGTCCCAAAATCAAATATCGCAACTAAGGATCAAGGAGATCTATCCAATGTCTCATAAAATAGCTGTAACAATCAAAAGGATACAACTAAGAAACAAGAACAAGCTACATATCCATCAAATACCTCTCAAAAAAATCTGATGACAAAAACGAAAAACAATATCTAATTTATGGAAATCCTGCATAGATCTAGCTAGATTGATTTATAAACACTTGCTTGACCATGATTTAGCAACAAGACAACACAACCTGTGACATTGTCCCCGGTGTAGCATGGTATTGTGAAGCATCAGGAAATGAATCGAGGTCAAAATACCATAATGGTCAAATGAACCGTGATTCACTTCACCATTATGGTGAAATTAACACTCCCTCCCCCCCTTCCCTCCACCCGATGATAAAGTGAAGCCACTCTATATTTTGTTGTCAGCGGATGTTTCTGCGTTTAATTTCTTATCACTTTCATTCATTAAGTTCCTCCAAACAAATTAAAACTGAAAAAATATTCAATCATATAAACACATAAATAACAAAATATAGGTCTGGGGTGGGGAAATTTAGAGTGGGGCGGGGGGGTCACTTCACCATATATTTGTGAAATATATAACAAGGTCATTGGGGTCGTTATATCTGTACAGAAATATATATCAAAGTCATGGAGGTCATTATGTCTGTACAAAAAATATAGTACAGTAGTATATAACAAGGTCATGGAGGTCATTTTACCTGAATACAAATATATAACAAGGTCATCTCATCACTCATATTGTGTTCAAAGAGTAGTTTTTTACAGAATGTCATTCCTGAAAAATTGATTGTACAAATTTTTCAAATAACAAGACATGAAAGAAAGTGACAAATACACACAAGAATGGAGAAATGTGACATGAGTTTACCTGGTGGCTAATGTAACATATCCAATTGTACCCTTGTACGACTCCTGCTGACTCCATAAAATGTTCAGCTGCACTCAGATCCAATTCTGCCTGTTTGAAACATTTTCTCTGTTGCACAGGATTGGACACAGGATCATTGTCACGATAATAAGGCCTGTGGTGACCTCCATGTGACCCTGATGACCCTGATGACCACCCTGATGACTCTTGATACCATTGTCGTTCTCTTGAACACTGTCTATAGACGTTCTCATAGAAATCTTTGTTTGGTGATGGCCCAGAGCGGGAGTAGTTAAAAGGATCCACGTCATCATCTATGTGCACTGGGTTACCATTCGTAAGTCTGTCCCAAACATGTTTGATATACTTGAACACCTCTGTAGCTTGCTCCTGGTTGTCGGTATTCTTGTCTGGATGCCACTGTCTCAAGTATCTCTTGAAGATAAGTCGTTTTTCCTTCTCTGGTAATTTCCATATAGCCAATAACTTCTGTCTGACCTCTTTGAAAATCACTTGAAGAGGTTTGGTCTTAGGGGACATATCATTAGAAACATCCACAGCATGGACAAGTTCTCTTGAATTTGTCTTTTTGCGAATAAATTTGTATAACTCATATGCAACTTTGATAAGGATTCTGTCCTCTCCAACATCAACTTCATATCTGGTCAGTTCAGGTGATAACTCTCCTTCCACATCACAACCTTTCAATTTCACAATCTTGGCATAGATATACATGTCACTTTCCTCCTCATCTGATGTTTCCTCATCATGTAGCTGTACAGCAACATATTCTCCAGTGTCAAATGTAAATTTGGTGTTGTCCAACATGTGGTGCCACTTCTTATGTACAAAAGAGCCACAAACTGGAAAAAAATGTTCATAAAGTGAGTGATGTATGTGATATTCTCGAATATCGTCTCGGTCCAAAATTGTTGAAATCTTTTGTGGTTGGTCCATTGCCATAAGAATTTTCAGCATCAGAGTTTTATGACTGAAACAATCAATGCTTGTGGATTTTTTAATTAGTTTTACAAAAACCTCTCCAATTTCTAGAATCCAATCCTTTATATCCACTCCTTCTGGAATTTTTGTGAAGAGGTTCCAGACATGTCCCTGCTGACCATTTTCTTCCTTCTCAATATGGCTGTAAACATCTTCATTACTTCCGACAATTTTCTCTTTGAAAACATAGTCAACTTTCAGTTTTTTAACTTGAACCACTCTGATTTTTTGTAGATCAGACACCACTTTGCTTTCTGAGACTTCTTCATTTCTTTGATACATTACTGTACCACTAATTCCTTTACTATGTGAATCATGACGTGAGATTCGAAGGAGTCCCTCAACAAATTCTGGGCTTTGAATGAACTCTTGCAACAGTTTTGTGTGATGCCCGGGTATAACTTCAAGATCTGTTGTATCTACCCTTTTTTTAACAATCTTAGTCAAAATTTGTGGTCTGTATTTGTCTGGCAACCTTTCTATATCATATTCTGAATAACGCAGTTTCAATGCTTTAAAACCTATGAAGTAAGGCAATCCTGCTTCCTTTCCGATCGCATCGTAAAACACTCTGTTGTTTGGGTATATCATTTTTGTTGAATCCACCACTTTGTTATCTTCTGTTGGAAAATACAGCACAGGCACCTGCAAACACTCGTCAGCACTTTTCTCCATTTGTAAAAACAGTCCATTTAGAGCTTTCTGCACGGACACTCTCTCATTTGCATTAAGTTCTTCGTCTCTCACTTCCTGTTTGATTTGCTCCAATACTCTTGCATAAGTTGCACATGTGGGTCTATCTTCTGTACCAAGCATTCTAAATAACTCAAAGTTTCCACCGAATACCATCGGCGCTTGGTAAAGATATGGCTTGATTTCTCCCATCTCTTCCAAATGGATAATGAGGGTTCCACATCTCACAAATTTGTTCTCTGATGGTAAATACACTAGAGGTTTCTGCCTAAGGCGCTCAGAAAGAATGTCCTGCTTTGCTCCATTTTGCCACAGATATTTATAGATGTCTGACATGAGGCTTTTCAGATCTTCATCCTCCTTTTGCCAGGCATTACTTTCACACTGTTCTTTCAATGCATCACAAATATTTTGAGTGTGTTGAATAACCTTCTCCAGTGGCGGTTCCTTCAAACATACCTGAAGCTGTTTAGCTACTGCATCTGATTTCTTCATATTAAATCCAATGAATGGGTTGGCAATTCTTGGCAGGATGTGGCAAGTACTCCAAACATATTTACTGTACTTTTCAGGAACAGCACCTTCAAATGCCATCAATTTCCCAGATTCATACTGCGGATAAATTTTTTTGTTTGTATAAGATATCATTGATGGCAGAATAAACTTTTTAGACCGAATGCTGGATAGCAAGCCAATACTCTCTAACTCTTTGATGTCCCAGATGTATGTAAGTAAAGTATTGGATTTTTTACACACCTCCTGTGTAACTGTATGTCTTCCCTCTGCTTCTATCTGATCAGCAAACTGGATTATCAACTGGTTCGTTGCTTTGTTTACCATGCCGATGAGTTCCATAAAGGATTTCCATTCCCATTCATCATATGGTGCCATTGGAAATTCCAAGTGACTGGACATAACCGTAAAGAGTTCAATATGAGGACTATATAATTCAGATGCACATTTGGATCCTCCATTTTTTGTGTCAAAAACTCTCAATGTCTTCAAAGTAGCAATCAGATTTTGCTGATCAGTATTATATTTGCCATCAAATGAAAGAAGATGATTTTGTATGTATCTTAAGTGGATAGGAATGCAGGACTTCGGAAGATAATCCATGTTGGCTAATATATTCTTTGAATAAACATCACATATGCTGCTTACTGTGTACTGAAAGGCATTATACATTTTTTCAAGCTTCTCATTCTGTTTTAAAAGCAGCGTATTGGAATTCCGACCCCATTCTGTTATTCCTTCACCTGGTATATCATGTGGAAGCACAAGGACATTTTGTTCCATCTCAAGTGACACAAGTTTTCCATGGGCAGTCAAATGCAGTGGAAGTGACTTCAGTTTCCTTGTCCATTCTGGAAGCTTTTCAACTTCCTTGATATCATTCTCAAAATACTCCAAAATAGCATTAGCTTTTCTTGTTGGAAGATTTCGAAATCCTGACTCTTTACAGTGTTGGTACAAACAGTTCAACACCATTGCTGGCTTTTTCATGTGTGGTATCAAAAAGTCAAGAACTATGCTTTGTAATACATCTGTATCTAGAACAGGAAGTGCAAGCTCTCCCATTACTTCCTTCAAATCACCTGTAAACGATTCCAAGTTCAACACTTTTTCGAAAACTGACATTGATGCTAATACTTTCCTAGTTGATACAGAGATATTTGTCTTAACCTTAAGTGTACATGGTAGTAGATTCCAAGGAGCGACAGGTGTTAATCCTGGTGGGAGAGTCCAAACAGCTTCACAGCCATTGTTTTCTTTATATGTCTTCTCCTGTTGTACCACAAACTCCAACACCTTACAGATCCAGCATGAATTGGGAAGGTCAGTACCAGAAGGCAGCCAGTCCAGCAATTCTGTAGGATTCTTAAACCTTTCTGGACTCAAGTTTTCAACTAAGCACTCAGCAAATGAATGGATATCAAAAGGCTTGAATATTCTTTCTTGTACTTCCTGTGTGTCAACAAGGTGCAATAAAGATTCATGAAGAAACCGATTTCTGGACCTGGGTAAAACTAAAAACTTCTCAGTGCAAAATATTTCACTGCCTTCCTTGAACACCCGTAGCTTCTCATCCCTAGTTAAACACAAGGGGACACCAATAATTTTGGAGGAATATTCTTCACTCTCTTTGCAGTAGAGTAGTAATTTAAAAACATTTTCCTGTTTTTGTAGACTGGTATCTGACATATCTGTGCCATGATCCTCAATCTTAATGTTACATCTATGTCTGATATCTGTCCTTTGGAATGATTTCAAAAATTCTAAAATGGCATTCGGGGATAGTTCAGCTACTGTTATGCCAGCATCCTTCATACTTTTCAGTATTTTTGTTTTAGAATCAAGAAGTCTCAGTCCAATATCTTTCAAAACTTGACATAACAGCTTGATATCAGACATCAGCTGCCCTCCCATGGGTTTTAAGGTGTCAAAGACAGCTGGAAATTCTTCTCCAGGCTCAGTTAGAGGCACAAACACAAATTGCTGTGACTGATATTGTTGTTGTGTGTGGTGTTGTTGATGTGTCAAGTGTTGTTGATGTGTCAGATGTTGTTGCTGTGACTGATATTGTTGTTGTGGTTGCTGCTGCTCTTGCAAGTAGAACAACGCATGATGATCATCATAGATCTGATTCAGAACTTCCTTTGCCAATAACTTCCAGTTTTCATCTTTAGCCTCCTGAAAAATTGGAAACAAATTATCTAGCTGTTTTGCACTTTTGACAAGTCCAGATTCCCTCCCACCAGTCAGAAGCATCTCTTTTACTCTTTCCATACCCATGACGTATGCAGAAGGAATCACCTTACTTAGCAGTAGTTGATTCCATTCCCATTTGTACGTTCCTTGTTCCCTACCCCACAAACTACATCTTGTTTCTCCACCTAGAGCAAAATGGCCATTCACGTTGACAGGCAGACCAGTGTTTAATGGCAGAGGCAGAAAACAAAATGCTCTGTATTTTTGTTGGGGAACAAAGTGTCTTCCTGATTCTTTGTGTGAAGACAGAAGGAAAGCTACACCACCTCTTGGTAAAAGTCTGAGGTTTTGCTCTTTGTATGCATTCAGTACTCCTTGAGGAATGTCACCATTTCCGAACCCTATCTGTTGAACTATTAACCAAGTATTTTTAACACCATTGCTGTCTTTTACCGTAACATTGTAAAAAACACTCTTATCTTGTATGCTTATTAGGTCTTGAGTATCTCTAAATTTCCTGCTCACATTTCGCAAATGGTTTCCAAAATCGTTCCTTTTTTCCTCATCCTCTTCAGAGATAATAGTTTCCACCACATATTCATTTTTGCACTCACCAGAAGATATATCCGACACAGTGATTTTTTTAACTGAATTAACAAAAAGTAAGGTTTCTAGTAACTCTTTCTCAAATGTTTTCAGCAGGTCTTTAAGCTTTTCAGATGACAATGGTTTGGCTAAATGCTTTCTTGATTCATTTCCTCTTCTTAGTGGAAATCTGAAAATTGTCCCATTGTCTGGCAAAAGTTTATCTTCATGGTAGCATTTGAAAACATCTGGGTACAACTCTCTGTGGTCTGGTAGATCCACTAACTGAATCCCAGGCCGTTCTTCTGTGGCATCTGATAAGAACTGGCAATATGGATCCATGATACACATTGTTTCACCCTTCTCTACGTTTGGGCCCTTTGTAATAAAAGACGGTGCATCAGTTAGATGGTAAACAGCATTAAAACCAACACCATACTGTCCGGTTGTTGTTGGATCCTCTCCTTTGCTGCCTATTCCAAGATTTTGGATTCCCTGTATGTCCTTGTCACTAAACTCGCTGTTGTTATAAACAAGAAGAGCAGGACCTTGTAATGGTTTCCATTTATCATCAAAGACCATTTTAGCAGAGTAGTTGTTACTGTCCAAAATAAAGTGAAGCTCTGTGGCTTGAGCATCATCAGCATTCTGGAGAAGTTCTTTCATTATTCCTTCATCACATGGATATCCTTCTAGAATCTTTTTTATTCTTGTAGTTAATTCCTCTTTCTGTCCAAAAGGTATTTTCCTCATACGATCGAAGAAGTGTTGTTTTATTTTGGCTTTGACACCAAGTTTGCGAGCAAAATCTGGACCAATTTTTCCATTGACAAATTTCATTTTTCCACTCTTTCCAATTTTCTCACTGTCATTTAAACAAAGGTCATCAATGGATGACAGGCTACCATCTATATCAGGAATACATAGTTCTGTTGAAAACTCATTTTTCATAATTGCACGCAGATCGCAACTGTCAATTTTCTCATAATCCATACAGGATGTTAAGACTTTCATGAAGTTGTTGTAAAGCTCCAGTTCTTCTTCTGACAAGTGCTCTGATCCTTTGTCATTTTGCATTTCCGTCATCACATTTAATATGTCCTGAGTAGTAAACCGGCTTTTTATATCGAGAATATCAACCAGATTTTTACATTTGAGTAGTAGGTGATGACCCTGCAATCCATACAAGTAAGGTTCACAATCCATCAAAACACAGAGTGCTGTTTGTTTTGGTTTGACAAATTTGTTATGGCACAAAATAACAGGATGCTCTTTCAATTTATCAATGTATTCTTTTTCTTCTTCAGAAACAGTTTCATTTGATATTCTATCATTCAAGAAGGAATAAGTCTTATTGCAGGTTTCCTTGAGTAGGCTTTTTGAATCTCTGGTAATGTTATTAGGGTCAATGGTTTCACACAGGTCAATCAAATGTCTGCAAACTACATTAACAGAAATGTCTTCATATTTTTCTCCATTGACTCCAAAATGACAGAATGTGTTGTCATTAACGTATTTGTAGCATGACATGTCCAGAACAAGCTCCTGTGAGCCAACAAGACAATGTCTTGAGTCTAGATAAAGACAAACTGGGTTTGCAAAATGAATATCTACTTTCATAGCATGTTGACATTTTGCAACCCTTTCAGATAATATGCTTGTTGAACAGGTTTCTAAATACAAAGTTTCCGCTTGCCATGGAAAAGTCCAGTTCTTTGGTTTCTGAAGTATGGGTAAGAATGGTATGCCTTTGAGTTGGTCAATAAGTGAAGAATCAGACATACAATTTCTTTGAATATACTTAACAATGCTAATGGACCTTTCCAATGCACATTTACCGCAGTCCTTTGATAATTCCTGTACAGTCTTTGCTCTGTCTATAATCAGGTCCTTTGGTAATGTATCCACTATCATCCCAATATCTGATAGATTTTTCTTTCTCTCCTTGACACCTGCTTCTACCATTTCCTTGTGAACAAACCGCCCTTCACACACGGTAAAGAAATCCACGAGTTTGCTGTCTGGATGTATAAGATCATGAGGACACTTTAGTTCTCCTGTTGGTTCTGCTGGAAAGCATTTTGTTCCTTGGAGCAGTTTCTTGGTTGTCTCACTAATATTATCTACAGCAAACAAAACAAGCATGTTCCTTTCTCTTGACTCCCAAAACTCTGACTGAATTTTTGGAAAAAGAACTTCTGCAAAGAAATTCTCTGTAGAAAACATCTTAGTCTTGACAGTACTTTCAAGCCCAGCTGTACACAAGGAATTGTAAAGGACCTTTTCCAGTCTCATCAACTTTTTGCTGTTACAATTGTCAGCTTCCAAGAAATGAATTGAAGCTTTATAAGCTATTTCTGCTACATCTGATTCAAGCAGTTTTGGATCCATAAACTTGCAGTTATCAAATGCGGCCCATAAGTCATTCCTTTTAAACACTACTGGGTTCTGCTTGACAATTTTTGTGAGAAATGCCTTCTGCATGTTTTGAAGTTCAACTGACTTTGTAGAATCAATAGGCCAAATGTTGATATATTCTTCATTGCTGACTCCAGTGTAGTTCTTCAGACTCTCAAGTAGTGTCACATATGCATTAGGAATTGCATCTGTCATTAGAGAATGATTCCATCGAGGTTTAAACAGCTCAGTTTTATCGTCCTCTGTTCCCCACATGATAGATCGTCTATCTGGGGCTACAGCAAATGTAGTATTGATGTGTACCGGGAGTCCTGTTCCTATAGGAAGTGGAAGAAATGAGAAATAATGTCCCGTCTTGTAAAGTCCAAACGGCATACTATCCAAAGGCAATATCTTAAGAACACATCCATTCATCTTCACAGGAGTTGCTACACCTGCCAGTGGTAACACACCTTTGGCCTGCTTTGAAATTTCCATGCTTCCTGAAGTACCTGTAGCATAGGAGACGATCCATCGAGTAGATGATTGTGTTTCAATTACTTCAGAAGATGTGAAACTCTTCGCAGATTTTTCCACCTGTATGTTGATATCACTGAGTATTATCTTCTGTGTGGCTGGTATATGCATCTGTCCACGTCGAATTGGTGAATACAGCAATGATACCTCTTTCAGAATGTTAAAGGTATCAGATATCTGTATGTTTTGAGGATTCGATGACACCATACTTTTTGTAGCTTTGTAAATAAGTATGCTCTGCTTGGGATCTACAACATTGGCAGGTAAGTGATACACTTCTATCTCTGTCACGTTTTGAGTAAATAACAGCATATTTCCACCATTTTCCATCAGCATGTGGAGAAGTTCTTTCATATCAGACTTGGAATAAGCAGCATCTTTTATTTCACTTTTCCCTGCCTGCTCATTTGTCCTCAAGGGAAGCCGAAATAGTGTTCCATTATAGACATGGAAGTCCTCATCCATGGCCATATCACAACCAAACACTCCATTGTAAGGTTGAAACTGATTCTTCATTCTTCTCACAAGTATCTGATTCTGCATACTTTTCAAATTTATCTTGATCCCTGGTTCCTTTCCTTTCACAGCATTTCCTAAATTTCTGACATGTGGATCGAAAATGACAAGGTCACTTCCCGTTATGAAACTTGGGACATCAGTCAAATTGTACACAGAGCAAAACCCTAATCCAAATTTCCCAATTTTGGTGTCATCCTCCTGTTTTGTTGCTCCTCCAAGTTTAGTAATGTTACGTAAATCTGCCTCAGAAAAACGTGCATCGTTATATGCCCACAGAGCTGGACCTTGGAATCCAGCCATATTTTGGTCTATCAGTCGTGTTCTAAAATCCCTATTTTCACGCTCGTCATACAGGAAACAAACCTTTGTGGCAGCAGCATCATCAGCATTTTGAACAATCTCCTTTGGAACTGATAGACCATCTGTGTAACCATCCAACAACCCTTTGATCCTCCCTGTGAGGTCTTCATGCTGACCACAAGGCTCTATTGCTTCTGTATCGGTCATCAGGCCCTCTGTCAGTGAGCGAACACCCAGGACTTTGGCAGTGTGTAATGGAATGTTAGCATGGACATAGTAAATGGTCTCTTCTTCCTCTTCTGCAATTGTCTTCAACCACTCTTCATTACTATATCTACACTCAGAAGCGGACATCAATTTCAAACTTGTGTTAGAGCCTGTGTGTACTGGAAACAGAACATCAAGATATGACACAGACTCTGGATCCTGTTTGAATCGAGTCAGTATTTGCACAGTAATGTTCAAGTCCTTTTCAACATCATTCCTTGAATAAACTGATTGATCATGTTTAGCTTTGATTTTATTCTGTACAATATCAAGAACATCCACTGTTTGTTTTTCATGACAACCAATCTTCTCAAACAAGCTTTTGATAGATTGAAACTCTGGTGGTAGACAGTACATGTAAGGCTCTAACGGGATGTCATCCGGCCCTCGTGTAGTGTAAACACCACCTACTTCAACAAATGTTTCCCCTGTCCAAACCAAAGACTCAGTTGAAAAGAAAGTTTGTATCTCATCAAAGCTGCAATGTTGTCTTGCCAGAAAGTGATAAACCTCATTAATACATGGCAACAGGTCGGGCTTGTTATTAACCTTGTAGTTTTGTTTGATGTTTAACAGGTGTTGTAACACATCCTCAACCTCTGGTTCATGCAACAGGAAATAATTCTGCATATATCCGTAGGTTTCTTCTGAAACGAGTGGGATGACAGACCCAGCTATTCGTTGATTCTGAGTGGTTGCTATGAGACATTCTCTTGGTGTGCAGAGTCTGTAACTACTGCAGTACCATGGTAAGACAGTGGGATAAATAGTTGTTTTCTTCAGCGGTGCAAGAAATTTCTTGTCCATCAGAGAATTTGAATGAAGTAGTTCATTCCGTTGAGAAAGAAAGTAATTCACTGCCTCTGCTTGTTTCAAGTTTGATATTTGACCCTGTTGTACTTTTCTGTCCAAGTCCTTGATACAGGAAATGATGAGATCATCTGATGGTTTCGATGATTCCAAACCCAAATCACGTAATCCAGTCAGGATGTTTGGGGATGAAAACGGTTGTGCTGGAAACATGGAATTATCCCCTACCAACTCCCCCAGGTGAGGTATTGTGGGGTTGTAAAGCTGTGATGGTTTTTGTAAATCTCCTTTGGAAGTAGGTACAAACTTAGTTTCTCTTGCCAAACTCATCAAAGCAAGATTGCTTTTGAATTGATGAATATTTATAACAAAATGCAACATCAGCTTTTTCTTGTCTGAATCACAGTAGGAATTCCATTCAACTGACAATATTTCCTCTATAACAGCTTCTTGAGTAAGTTCTGTGACCCCTAGTTTTTCGGCTAACTTGCATTGGCAGACAGCTGATGAGGAAAGCAGACGGCGAGGATATTTGACAGGAAAGGTATTTCGGAGTTTTGGGGCCAGCATATTCACTTGATTGACAGAAGTGTAGCTACTACTTTGGTGTTCTTCAAAAATATTCATTCTCTTCAGTAATTTCACTCCAACTTTTCCAATATCAAAATGCTCTAAATATTTTCTCCATGAAATTCTTTCAGCTTTGCTAGCCTCATTGTTAAAACTTTGCAAGTAATCTTTGTTATTATTGTACAGATGATCAAGCAAGCCCAGAAAGCTAGATGCTGAAGGATTGTGTATGTACTTAGTGATATCTGGATGTTTTGCCACATAGGGAGGTAACACTGATAATACTTTGACTGAAAACCGGTTCATAGATCTACACAGATCATCTGGTAGGTTGTAGGACTTATGTGACTTCACAATCAGCAAGCTTGAGAGTCTATGAAGAATGTAATGATCTCCAGCTATCTCTGGCACCAGATGCAAGTCTTGGAAGCAGTCCAAAGTCCTGCATTCAGCAAGCTTGGACCAGACACTCTCTAACCAGTCTCCAGGAAGTGAAGACCTCTTAGTATCCCAAACTTTAAACTGACCTCTGTCCTCCAGGTTACGATCAATACACAACTGGAGAAGTCTTACAAAGCCATCGCAATCCAAGTTTTTGACCTGAAAGGTACCTGTAAAGATTGATGGTGAAAAGTACTATCCATCAAGATCAAATATACATTAAGTTTTTAAAATTGTTTAAACTTTTTCAGTGCCAAGAGATGGTTCTATGCATGACTGATTTTTTTCTCTTCTTTTCTCTTCTGTAACCTTTTCCTCTTAGTCATTTGATACCAATGGAATCCTTCATATGAAGTCTAATAAAGAGCTACCATGAGCTTTGCTAATAACAGGCTTCGATTTTCAAAAATCAAGTTAGTCTCCAGTCTCCAGACATTTTGTTTTCTTGAGCAGACTTAGTATTGAATGGGAACAACTTGAGACGATGAAGAACCTACACATAAAGTTTTACAAATATCTTTATGGCACAAACTATACAAGTGTCAGAATCCAAAAAACGCTGTCTGTTGGCCATTTTGTGACTCAAAATTATACACATACATACACATGAAATTTGAGATAGAGTACTTACAGAGATAGCAATAACAGACTGTAACAGTCAAAATTCAATATGGTTACTTGTCATACTTTTGACACATGACACACCGCCTCACCAAGGGTGAAGCCATATCCCAAGTATGAAGTTCCTATAGCATGTAGTGTAGGAGATTGAGCCTGGACAAACTTTATCTTCAATGTAGATCTAAGGCCAAACTGAGAGTATTTCTGATCTTTTGACACACAACACAACACCTCACCATGGGTGAAGCCATACCCCAAGTATGAAGTTCCTATGGCATGTAGTGTAGGAGACTGAGCATGGACAAACTTTTTCTTCAATGTAGATCTAAGGCCAAAATGAGAGTATTTCTGACCAACTTTTGACACATGACACACCGCCTCACCAAGGGTGAAGCAACGGTGACCAATTGTTGAGGAGATTAAGATAGGACATAGTCATGATTACAAAAGAAAACTCTTTATTTCAGTCACATTGCATTATATTGCAGTCCTTGTAAGATACCAGTTAATGAATTTCTAGTCGTCTGAGGAACACTTAAGAAAGAAGGATAAACAGGTGCAAAAACATTTCAATATTATCACATTAAACACAAGAGGATTAAATGGACCTGTATAACTCATCTCTTCTCCAGCTTATATAGAAAAGGATGTCATTCAATTTGAAGAAACTAAATAGCCCTTCATCACTGCATGTTTCCAAACATCATCATTATAGGCTGATTTGATTTTCAGTGATAAGTTATCCATAGATTAAGTGACGACCTCACCAATGTCCTGACCTAAAAAATGTGTTGTTTGATGACTCTGTAGTAAGTGACCTTACCTTCACTGCTAATCTGTTGTAAGTCTTTGACAATGTCAGGAAGATTTAATTTCACAATCTGGTCCTCACAGCCTGGGATCAACCTTCCTGTTGTTTCTTTGCACATATACACACAGCCATTGCTCTGAAATGCAGCAAACTCCCCATTTTCTAAAGGCAATAGTTTCAAATTGTTCAGAAGGTTATACTGTTTCACTGACATCAGATATTGCAGCAGGTGGAGTTTTTGTTCGGAGCTACAGTTTTCGTACCAGTTGTTCTGTTTGAGGAGGTTTGCTAAGAAGGCTGGAGTCAGCATAGTCATACTTGTGTTTTGTTCCAATAATGCTTTGACATGCGGAGGGACAATCGTGAGGTTTTGTTTATACTGCATCATGATTTGTCGAAGTGTATCCCTCACTCCAGCATCTGTAACATATTAATATGATACTCTATTATTTATCACACACTCCAGCATCTGTAACATATTAATATGATACTCTATTATTTATCACACACTACAGCATCTATTAAATATCAACCTGTTATTATAAAGAGATAGAGTACCAATAAAGTCCACAATATGATGAATGATGATTGGTTGATACAATCATTTATTACATTTTCAGTTTTGTATCAGATGCCAATTGGTCTACATCCAATCATGTCCTTTTATTACATTTAACATCAAATTGCACTTTTGTCCTGTGTTATGGCTGAATTTCAGGCAATCAGATTTGCCCATCAAACATTTTATTTATTTCTAGTTTGGATCCGCTTTAGCTCTATGTTTATCTTTACAAAATGTTATAATCAAAATATCAAATATGTTCAACTTGTATGACTTTTGTAAAATTATATTATAACACTCATGATATATATATGATATATAAGGGGAGACATGATATAATATCATCCATATATAATCCTTGAATGAATGAAGTCACAGCATTGGTTTGCTACACGAACAACAAGGAAGGGGAAAAAATATATACATACTGCTGTTGTTATCAGGACATTCAAACACTGCATTACTATGCTGGATCCACTGTCCTCCTTGGTTTTTGGTGTACAGGAAAGGCATCTGCAGAAGTCCCTTCACTAATGGCTCCAAGACAATGCACCATTTCACATCCACAGCATCCAGACATGGGATAGATCGGTACACAACTTTGACTAGATCAACAGGGTTGTTTTCTTCTGTACATCTTGTGATCAGCTGTCGTACCGTAGTCAGGTAGATGTGGGATAGGGCCTCTTTCACGAGGACCTGGTTCCACTGGAGGGATTTATCAGCATTGATGGCAGATTGTCGCAAATCAGCAGATGGCCACTTCACATGGCGCCTATTCTGACTCAAAGCAAAGAATCCATTCACATGAACAGGGAGTCCAGTCAGGCTGCATGCCTCCAATGGAAGAGGAAGGAAGCAAAAGACATGTCCTTTGAAATCTTCGATGTTCTCATATGGAATTGCAATTCCAACATAGGGACTGTACGATAGTTCTTTATCTTGGGAAAGTTTACAAAATTGTGAGGACATGTTGCTATATCCTAGAACTGCATTGACAATGAACCATGATTTGTCTTCAAGCCTTGTCAAACTGTTCCGATCACGTGTCTCCACTCTTGTGGTCACATGGAGGCTGCATATCAAATCATTTGACATGCTACCTTTGGTATAAATCTGTAGATCCTTGCTGAATTTCCGCCTCTTCTCCAGTACCAGTTCTGATCCTTGTCCTTGGATTCTAACTCTGTAACTAGGCTGGTTTCCATGGTTCTGTCTGTATAAGGACATTTCTTCAAGATTTTTCAGAAACAGGAGTGTCATTGGTGCCTCTGTTGTAAAGGAATCAAACAATGTTTCAATTTTCTCCTCGTTATAAATATTCCCGGATAATTCTGTGCCCTTCTGTCGCAGAGGAAACCTGAACAGGGTACCTCTGTACTCACCACCTCTCAGGGTCTCCTCCCCAAACCCAAAAATACCCTCAAATGCATCTGTAAGGGCTTTCATATCCATTCCTTTGTATTTTGTCAATTTCTCCAAGTGGAAGCTTGTGCAAACCTTGTCAGGGTTGGTTGTGTAAGGATTTATAACAAGTAGCTTCTTCCCAGACACAATCATTGGGTAATCTGCAATGTATTAACAGATTGATCAGACAAATACCAATGTATCAAAGAGGACTACGAATCCCCCCAAGATCAGTGATTTCGAAAACTATTTTGCTATCTACATTAAACATTATGATGATTTAATATAAAATGATAAAAAAGCAAATTTTTCGATTCATGAGATATCTTGAACACCAACATAGAATCTTGAAAATAGTCAAGTGTGTTTTGTGACCTTTGACCTGTTGACCATCAAAATCTTACCAGGTGTAACACTTGGTGTTATGATATTGTAATATCAAAGGAACCTGGCCCAATATGCCCTGGGACGTTTTTAATCTTGACCTCAATGACATAAAAACTATTCAGGTTGATATAGAAATTTTCTCACAGTCTCAAGAATGGTTATGTATGAAATCTGTTTGTGATGACAGTTCAATACAACTGTATGTCACCAAAATTGATCGATAGAAAACAGAATTTTTTTGTTTGAAAACTCAGAAGATTGACATGCTTACACAACAGTTAAAGTTTTTTTCCAATTTCTATATTGTCAAAGATGAGATTAGGATGTAAAAGAGATATAGTAATGTACTGATGTGGGCCTTCCTTGCACTATGCCCTTGCAATATTCTTAAGTTCTGTTTGGGTGACTTTTTTCGCAACTACCAACTTGCCCTGAGGACAGTCTGGCACTGCCTGACATTACCATGCATTTCTTTCTTTGTTAGTCAGTCTACAATTTAGCACATCAGTGATCACACTGGATTTTGATAGTTCTGTCATACTTGTAGACCATAATAGTGTAAGTTATCAGTAGCATATATAACATTTGGTGTCAAAAATATTTAAATTTGCAAGTTTGTATTTTCTTGATACATTCTTGCTAGTTCAATATTCTAGAGAACAAGAGGCCCATGTGGCCTGAATCGCTCACCTGACTGATGACAAACAATTACTGAGGTAATTTCCCTATTGGGTTCTGGCCTTGTAGTCAAACAGAAGTCAGATTCACTATTCATAAACTGACTTCAGACCAAACTTATGTTTCCCAAATTGGGCCAACCCCTCCCTCCTAGGGGACCAAGATGCACTGTTTGTACTGAACTGATTCTCCTTCACCTGAGAATACTTCATACTACATTTGGGCAATATCCATTCATTCCTACAGGAGGGTAGGATTTGAAACATTTCACTCTTTTCTACCTATTGGGACCAGCCCCTTTTGCCCCAGAAGGCTGAGACCTTACCTCTATACAAGATTTATTCCCCTATCCCTTCCCCAAAGAATGCTTCAGACAGAATTTGGTCAAAATCTGTTGACTCATTCATGACTAGTAGCAATTTTTAGTAAAAAGTTGACAGACTCTGGATGATGGATGACAGACTATGTATCCTGCGCCATGACATAAGCTCACTGGTCCTTCAGAGAAGCTGAACTAAACACCACTTATGGATATTAATACGGCCACAACTGACAACCTTAGACTATGGAAGGGTATAGGGAACACAAGGGCAAAAATCATTCTGGCACTTAACAGTAACACTGTTTACGGTACTTGCATTTTACCTTATAAGTGTGCTAATGCTATTGTTAAATTCTTATCAAGCAGCGATATTACTGGTAATGATATGTACAAAATCTAAGAAATAAAAACATTCATTGAAGTTGAATGAAATAAAATCTTGCTTACCTGTTATATGAAAAACAGATTTGAAGCCAAGTCCAAATCTTCCAACCTTCAATGGGTCCAACTCCTTCACGCTGCTGTACAGCATTTTGATACCTCGCCAATCACAATCAGAGAATACGGCATTATTGTGAAAGAATAAAGCTTGGCCCTTTAAAATATATAATATATGTCTAGCTATGATTATACATGAAATTTACAATGATTAAAATGCATACATTATATATCAATCACAACATGGATATTTGCATGTTTTGGAATTTTTTTAACATATGCTAAGATAATAGAATTGCATGAAGATAAGGAAGAATTTACCGCAGTAGTTCAGCCTTTTTTTTCAGTAACCACATGAAAATAATGTAACATTTGGTTTTGCTTTAGCCATTATCTTAACTAAAATACTGAGAGAAGTTAGACAAGGACCAACATTTTTACTAGGACAATCTCTGAATATCAAACCAATCAGAATCTTTTATTATGTTACCATGGTTAATTTATATGAAATCATTATAAAAGAAATGGCATATCATGATTAGCAAAAAAATTGGCCCATGTCTGAATAAAAGCCAAGAAGTAAAAGTTTTTGGTTTTTGATATTTCCAAGAAGATCTGTGTATAAAGACTGTTTAATTTTATTTCCCTGAAGATCTGTGTATAAAGACTGTTTAATTTTATTTCCCTGAAGATCTGTGTATAGAGACTGTTTAATTTTATTTCCAAGAAGATCTGTGTATAAAGACTGTTTAATTTTATTTCCCTGAAGATCTGTGTAAAAAGGCTGTTAAATGTTATTTCCAAGAAGATCTGTGTATAAAGACTGTTTAATTTTATTTCCCTGAAGATCTGTGTAAAAAGACTGTTTAATTTTATTTCCCTGAAGATCTGTGTATAGAGACTGTTTAATTTTACTTTCCTGAAGATCTGTGTATAGAGACTGTTTAATTTTACTTCCCTGAAGATCTGTGTATAGAGACTGTTTAATTTTACTTCCCTGAAGATCTGTGTATAGAGACTGTTTAATTTTACTTCCCTGAAGATCTGTGTATAAAGACTGTTTAATTTTACTTCCCTGAAGATCTGTGTATAGAGACTGTTTAATTTTACTTCCCTGAAGATCTGTGTAAAAAGACTGTTTAATTTTATTTCCCTGAAGATCTGTGTATAAAGACTGTTTAATTTTATTTCCCTGAAGATCTGTGTAAAAAGGCCGTTAAATCTTATTTCCCCGAAGATCTGTGTATAGAGACTGTTTAATTTTACTTCCCTGAAGATCTGTGTATAGAGAATGTTTAATTTTACTTCCCTGAAGATCTGTGTATAGAGACTGTTTAATTTTATTTCCCTGAAGATCTGTGCATAATGCCATTTAATTTTATTTCCTTACCTTGAAGTATTTGTTGAAAGGTTTTTTCTTCTCACTGTAAGGTTCTTGGTTAACATTTCTGCTATCAAATAGTATCTTCACTTCTGATGCACCAGCATCTTCTGCATTCTGTATCAACTCCTAAACACCCAAATAGCCAAAAGCACAATGGACCTGCACCCTCATCTGGTCTTCAATTCTCTCCATTCATATATTAACATTTAACATCACTGACATCCAAAGACTTGGTTAATGAGAAGATGTCATTTGAAGGTTATTAACAATTTTGACTTATGACCTTGAATGAAGTCAAGATCATTTCTTTGCGCAAAAGTATCATAGTTCTTACAACAAGAGGCCAAGCGGCCTTGATGGTCACCTGAGATAAGCAATATTGAATATAAAGGTTAAAGGATAGTTATCAAGTGTCATGAAACAGAAATTGTTACACTGAATACAGACATTGTCAATACACGAATACCATCAAAACTGCCATCCTATACTGATAATTCTTATAAAATTATTTCCAGTGGGAAATAACCAACGATACAATCAACAACCAAAATACAACTTTTCTATGAAAATTACAGTAAAGTCTTGAAAAATATTCCTCTCCATGAAGAAATGTGAGACTCATTTTGGTAATTAAAACACCTTAAGAAGCTTCCATTAACAAAGAGCATTTGGTTCTACCATATCTGGGTGTGGAGAAGAAGATTTTTGAAATTTAAGTTAATTTGACTCCATTTGGCCCCACCCATCAGCCCCTATGGTTCAGTCAGGATCAAAATGTGCATACCATCACGCCATCATCCCTCACTCATAATTCTAACCAAGTTTGAAATATTTCCAACTGAAATTAAACAAATTATGCTAAAAAATCTTGTTTTCCTATATAAACTGTAGTAAACTTTACCCCCCTCCCCACGGGGAAATGTGAGACCCTGGGGGAATGAAATTCACAATTTAGTAAAGCACCTTCAGATGCTTCCATTCAAGAAGAATATTTGATTCTACCATATTTGGGTCTTGAGAAGAAGATTTTTGAAATCTGAGTCAATTTGACCCCTTTTGGTCCCACCCCTCAGGACCCTGGGGGATAGGGACTGTATGATTCAAAATTTTGGTTCATCTTAGGCCAGGGAAGGTTTCTGCAAAATTTCATTGAAATTGCATCAGCAGTTTTTGAGAAGAAGTCAAAAGTGTTAAATTGTTTACAAACGCACGACACCAGATGAAATGTATTAGAAATGGTCAACATGAGACTTTGTCTCAGGTTACCTAAAAATCTAAAATAATAATAATCAAGGTCAGTTCTTTCACAAACCATCTTTAGCTTCATCCCAAGAACTGACAAGCAAGCATTCATGACTTGAGGGCTTTTGGTTTATCAAAAGTTTTTTTTAAAAAAATTACAAAATTAAATCTCTGTGACCTTGAATATGAGTCAATGACATTTCTTTTAGCAAACTTTTGTCAGGTTTTATCCCAGAAGCCTACTAACTAAATACAATTATTCAAGGCCCCTTTTTGTGTTCATCAGAAGATGTCCTTTGAAGATATTCCCCATTTTCAATCCTGTCACCTTGAATAGAGTCAAGGTCATTTATATACAAACTTTGTCAAGCATTGTCCCAGGTACCTTCTAGCCAAGTATCATGATATTTTGATACTGGGCATTATGGATATTGAGAAAAAGTTAAGGAAAAAGTTAAGGAAAAAGTTGAAGACAGACAACATAGGAGGGTGTTCACTTCACCATGCCATAATCTTTTTGGTCCCTTTAGGCCAGGTGTGCCAAAAATTATATTTCATCAACAATTTATTTAGTAAAGATTTAAACACAAATATTAAAAATAGAAATTACACAAATTATCTAAACAAATGAATCTGGTCATTAATACTTGAATACAAAGACGTACCATTATAAAATTGACGTCAGAAGAGTTATACCCCAGTCTAGGGAGGTCTTCTTATAGTCAGCCTTTTTACAACTTACCTTGAGTATTTGACCGTCATCAGGATACTCCGACAGAATGTTCTTTAGCATGCGTGTGAGAGGAGGCTGTTCTAAACCAGAGTACTCTGGTTCCATCTCCCCGTCAGACTCCTCTTCCTCATCCCCATCCATCATCAAATCTATGGGATGATCAAGCCTTTTTTCTGTTTGTCAACAGGATCACTTCACAATTTGGGCAGTTACTTAAACACAGAAAATGCATAGGTAGATATAAGATGTTACTGAAACACACAGCCCAACAACAAGCCAAAAGGCCAAAGGGTCTTAATGGTCATCTGACTATAAAGACCTACATATAATACAGGCTCAATGGGCCTGAATTATTCGAGATCTTACACAGAAGAATTTGTCATATTGTCAATTTCTGCAAACTTGAATCTTATTCCTCAAGCATGCTACTTTACAGTTACCATGACCTAGGACCTATCACTTATTGAAAGAAGAAATTTGAAGTTCTAAACACTTTTGACCCCAGTGATGTTGAAAGTGGATCAAGTCAATAGTTTGAATAAATTAGGTAGCCCTTCCTCCAATTATGTTACAGAATCAATATCAATAGTCTGGACATATTGGATATTAAGAAGTAGCCATTTAAACTTTTTAAAAATATCTGACCTCAGATACCTTAACAAACAGGTCAAGGTCATTTATTAAAAAATTTAGTAGCATTCATCCCAGCTGGCTACAGGCCAAATATCAGCACTCTAGGCCTTACAGTTTTTGAAATGAGGTTTTTTGAAGATTTAACACATTTGATCCTGTTACCATGAGGGTGGATCATGGGCACACATTTGAACAACCTTGATATCTCTTTATCTCAACATGCTACAGGCCCAATATCAGAAACCTGGGTCTTTTGGTTACTGACCAAATGTTGTTTGAGAATGTTTACCACATTTCCCCCTGTGACCTTGAAAGTGAGTCAAGTTCATTCTTTTTAACTAACTTGATTGTCCTTCATCCCAGCATACTATAGGCTAATTATCAGCATCCTGGGCCATTTGATTATTGAAAAGTCATTTGAATTGAAAATTTCTGTATAGCACATAAGCCAAAGCCGACGGACTTAAATATAATGGCTATTCGTCACCTTGACCTTTTGGTCTCAGATGACCTCACATAGCATAAATTCAACAAGAAACAAATAAATATTTTAGACACATCCCTTTTTCTACATGAAAAATTTAGATGTTAATATCGAGCTCTTTCTTTTCCACCTTTTTTAATCAGGAATATCTATTGAATATTACATTGATAATCTTATTGTTAGATTTAGAATCAGACACAGTTAAATCATCATTTCACAGAGTTATCGAACATGGTCATCAGAGTTATCGTTAATGTGTAAAATGGTCCATTGTATGTGTTTTAAGTTTCATTTGTTGCTTTTAACTGCCAGTAGCCAGGATTATTCAAAGGCATAGTCTCCTTGTAGTAACTGGTGACTACCTTGATGAACACCATACAGGGGGCCCATCACATACCACTAGAGCATGTTTTTGTAACACTGGTAAATATAATAATATAATATCATCCTTGAATGACAGTATTAACAGCGTGACCACTGATGTACATGATGAACTTCCTATTTTTTCACAAAACCATAAAATTAGTGTACACAGTATTTACGGAATTTTCTAATCGATTCATACGTAACATTTAACTATATAGTTGTTGCAACGTCAGCTTAACTATGATGTCATAATGTCCATTGAACCGCATTTTCATACCTTAGATGCTTTTTTCCAAAATAAAATTTGTCCTGATGACGGTCGCATAGCGCCGAAACATGTAGACAGCTTTACAAAAAGTCTTTGTGTTGCTGAGATTCCTTTTTGTTTTATTTTGTTTTATTATACTGGTATATATAGTATAATCTCAGGTATATGTATAGTATATACTAGCTACAATATACAGCTTGGTTGGGAAGTCTTCTATTCAGCTTGATCAATTGACCAGGATAAACCTAGTAAGTCAGAGGTCAAAAGTTCAGATCTTCATAGAGCCAAGGAAATGAATTACCTCTAACTTTCAAAATATACTTTGACTGAACTTTTTTCTTATCAGACTGTCTGATGCAGTCCAAAAACAGTCATCCACAATTGATAAGAATGGCCTGCTTTGATCACCTGGTTTTCAATGCTTTTCACAAAAAAAAGTTGTTTTCAATGCTTTTCACAAAAAAAATTATCATTTTGCATTGTAGAAATTCAATCCCAAGGACTAACAGTCAAACATGTAATTTTTTTCACAAGCATTTTTGGGCTTCATCCAAGAAGCCTAACAAATATCAAAATTGACCCCTGTGACCTACAATATAAGTCAAGGTCATTTGTTTTCACAAACTATGTTGGGCTTTATCTGAGGTGCCAAATATCAAGATTCCATGCCTTTTAATTCATCACATGAAGACAATTAAATGATTCAAAAAAAAAATTGACCCCTGTGACCTTCAATTGCTATCAAAATAATTTTCTTTCACATAGTTATTGGGCCTCATCATAGGATCCGACCAGCCAAAAATCATGATTCTAGGCCATTTGGTAATTGAAAAGAAAACATGCAGGACAGATGACAGAAGGACAAAAATAGTAAATCCTGACAGTTGATGTTTATCAAATTTCAATCATTTATTGTCATGAGGTTTAACTTCAGTTCTGGAAGACAGATTTTTGAAGTGAAAGCATCAACACACTGCTTTTATTAAGATATTCCAACAGATCTACAAATATGTTCATAGTATATCAATATACAGTAGATACTAAATGACTTTTTAGATTTTGGTCAAATGACGATGGTCATTGATACATTCTTGTTTGTCATCTTTTCCTGCATTTATCCATAGGGTAACTTGGCTGTTATACTGATTTTACTGAATTTCTGTTCACGCGGCCTTGCTATTATAGCTAGCTTGGTTACTGTTAAACTGAAACATTTCATTGGCGACAGGAAATCATAATAAACAGATTCCATTTACTTGGCAATCGATGTTTAGTATTACATTCCCCTAACTGTATTACATATATAATACATGTCTACCTAACGGAAGATATTTCAAAAAATTTCCGCGTTTCGGAGAATAGCGGAAATTTGCTATCCTATAGTTTCGGTCACGTACATATGTATGCAAGGCGTGCAAGGCAGTGTATAGTATCTGACCAATCAGGAGACTGATTGGCGTGCCACGTGGAGTACTAGGGTACCGACGCGCACGTGAGGGGTATATCGGGTATTCATTCTAGCCGCGGACTTCCAAAGCGTTGACTGCTATAGTTTCAGGGTTCGGGTGAAAACGTATACAATGCACTTATATATAGTATAGAATATATAATTTACATATTTTCGCTTTTCAGTAAAGGTAAAGAAGAAATATAAAGTGTGAAAGTATCTAACGACCGGTAGAAATACCATTGTAGACCATTAAAATGCAGGTGCTTGAAATGAATGAACAATTGAAATCCCAGCGTTATTTCGGGAGCCTGAAGCAGTTTGGGCTGGTGCACCTCCTCTCATCCCGTATAACGGTTTTGAGGTTGGGTGGCTCGCTTGGTTCTCCTAAGGCTTGTTATACAATGGTATAATTAGGGTAGCGAGAGGCTAGTGAGTGAGTAAGGGAATGTATATATATATATAATTAAAAAAAAAAGAGAATATGACATTAAAGTGTACCCTGAGAGTAATTTTATATTTAGACATAATGTTAAGAATGCCGTAAAAATAATAATAATGAAAACCCCGTCAAAATCCGTTGCCCCAGTGTCGAGTTATTAAAGCTCAAAGTTGTCGATTTTCACCTGTCCGCCCAGACCTAATCAGCCGAATTGTCATTTCCGCGGAATCGAGGCTCTTTTACTCGTGACGTCATAAGTTCAACAGAAATGGCAGTCAACATGACTGACAGTGACAACGACACCGCAACTGAGAGCGATTTGAGCATGAGTTTTGAGGAGTCTGATTATGGTGTGAATGGTATGTCTGAAGACGGAATCCAGCCCTACCGATTTGAACTGGAATTACAAGACGATGTATCCAGTGAGGAGGAAAATGACCCTTCGAAAAGTGATGATCGCTTGGGCAACATAGATTGGCACGTACTTCACTGGGTCTCACCAGTAGTCGTGAAAGCAGTCGAACAGTGAATCGTCGTTTCAAAGAAACAAAATAAAATTGGGTGTGGTTTTGGACTAATTTTACTATCTTCAAGTCTCGATCAACAATTTCTGACGTCGGGAAATCGCGTTTGTGCAAGACTATGCATACATTCACGAGGTGTCGGGAATTTTCTTACCGAAGAAGTTTCGTCCGAGGGGAATTTTTCTTTCCAGGGAATTTTCGTAGCACTATGGATATATATAGATAGGGTGTCAACAACCAATTATAACACCCTCCGCTGTGTTAATAATAATAATTTGATGTTTTAGAAGTTTAAACAATTATTTGACTTGTTTTTTACCCTAGCACTGGTACGCGTCTGTTGTTAGCCGACAGGCGTGTCGCCTCACAGGTGTCACAATTGTTTTTTCCAGCCACAGAGGTGCTAATTACCTAACCTGGCACAGGTGTGATTATGAGCTTAGATGACATCTCTACACTGTGAACTGTGTTTTCAAATCAAGATTGGTGATCTTATTGTTATTTTCACGATCGCAAAATTAATAACTAAACAACATCGTCTGCTGGAAGATCTAAAAACCAAATACACCTTATACAAACAACATACACACATAACCTATTCTATAAATTCTATTCTATACTATATAATAGTAGTATGAAAATTCTCGGGGTGAAAATTCCCGTGACCCATTCACGACCAGGCCTTCTCCGAGTATTAGGCGTTCACGATTACGAAGGAATAATATTCCTATGACCGCCCAAGTCATAGGCTAGCCTATCAATTTAAAATGTTTAGTTGTAGAATTAATAACAAAATATCAACCTAACAAATATACTTTTATTGAATCAACAATCTAGCTATATATACAGATAGGGGATGATTTTGCGTCACTTTTGCAAAAACCTTATTTATGTAAGTTTTGCAGAAACCCCATCTAAGACTTGATCGGTCTATTTAAATGATAAATTGTTAACTAAATAACAAATGTCGTTTACTA